GATTTTTTTGAATTTTATGAATTTTCTAAATTTTATGAATTTTCTGAATTCTATATTTAAATATATATATATAATTCTGAATTTTCTGAATTTTCTGTTTTTTTTTGAATTTTCTGAATTTTCTGAATTTTCTGCATTTTCTGAATTTTCTGAATTTCCTGATTTTTCTGAATTTTCTGGCGTGGTTTTACATTTTTTAAAATATTTGATTCTTTTAGCTTTTCATTTTTTTGCAGAGTTTGAATTCTGTTGATCTAATATTTTCCATCACAAGAAGTTTGAAAAGTTTGAAGAAAGCCAAGAAGTTGATTCTCAACAAATTCAACACTACAGAAACCAAAATTTACATTATGGCCAGATAATCTTCTTTTTAACATTTTCATGCATAGCAGACATAAGTGTCAAGAAGCTACCTTTGTTGAATTTTTACTGCAAGGGAAATATCACGCTAAGGACTTTTGTTTCTGAGGAAGTTTTAGTTACCTTTTTTTTGTGAAAGAACTGGTCTTTTCAGAAAGTGTTCTTCGGAAAATTGTTACAATCCAGGAACTATACATTACTGAAGGTTATCTTTTCAGTAAAAAGGGATAGTTCCTGTCCAGGAACCATCCCTTAGAGGAAGCATTATATACACAAACTGTCCTTGCCAGGAAGTATCCCTCATAGGAAGCTTTCTTTACAGAAACTGTCCTTTCCAGAAATGAACTGTTCTTGACAGAATCTGTCCTTTCCAGGAAATATCCTTCACAGGAACTGTTCTTGACAGAAAGTGTCCTTTCCAGGAAGTATCCTTCCTTGGAACTGTTCTTTACAGAAATTGTCCTTTCCAGAAATTCCCTTTGAAGCCAAAATTGCTCCGTGGGAATCGACATACATGTCTGTTACTTCTTAGAAATGAAAAAGACTATTTTCACTTATGTTGACTTATTTTAACTTATTTTCACTTATTTTCACTTATTTTTGAATAGTATTCAACTATATCTGGATTATATGTTCATTATTATGTTAGAAGTTCACCTAAACGATAAGTGGAACTTAAAACTGAATAATTTTATAAATACAATTTAAACAGGATATTTGCAGGATAATAGCAACTTATCAGATACTTATAAATGCATTAAGTGCCTGAAGTGTTAATATCTTCACTTTGGGGTCACAGTAGGTATCGAACAATCAATGCGTCGGCAACAACGATCTCCATGACAACCACGACCAATCCGACTCCAGTGCCTGCCCCTCCTCCAGGCACTTCGACTACCAGCCGGTCCATTGAGCCAGCTGGTAATCCATCTTGGTTCCAGCCATGGACGGACAATGAAGACAAAGAGCTGGTCAGTCTCAAGAGTGACACCAAGTCCCGCCCGTCGTGGAAGATGATCGGAGCAAGACTTCGTCGAGATCCTCAAGTTTGTAAACTGAGATGGGCCGCTATCAAACAAGTACCCGAACACCAGCATCGGGAGCTTCCATCACATGAACCGGAAGCCGAAGACTGAGATTGCAACAAAACATGGCACAAAAAAGGTGCGTAATTGCCCATTTGCTGCTTTTTTGGACCTAATTCCTGTAACTTAATTTCTGCTGTCCGAAGTTTTATACCTCACTCGTTGCTTCCTGTTTCCCTCATCTCTATTTGCAGTTGCTCAACTTTGCATGATGTCTCAGACATTATGGCTTACTCATCTGATTACGTACGTATTCAACCTGATCGATCCCGCTCCCGGGACGACCCACCCATGTGGAGACATTCCAATCAGTCTCGCCCATGGAACCATCACTACAGGGATGCCTGGCGATCTGTTCCCCCAGTCAGGGACACACGCCGAGTACTGATTAGTGTTAATTTGGACGAGTACTGATTAGTGTCAATTTGGACCAGGTCCGTCCCGTCCTCACTGAATTGGACATGACCACATGGACATGACAACTTGCAGTGAACTTCCGGGCTTGGGCCGCATGGAGGAAATGGCTCTGTTTACCTATCATGTCCTCATCGATCCGACACATGTACGATCTCTTATGGTGGAACACTGCTCTACTACATCAGCCAGCACATTCACTACACCTGGGATTGCTTCATCGAACACACGTCTTTGGATCTGCGTTGGCAAGATATCACGGGCGACACCTTCGCTTTGAGGAACGACCACCTCCTATTTGACCTACTTCATGAACATCACCCACGTTGGGCTGAGGGTCAGGAAATGGGAATCTTATTCCCCAATGAACTTCGCCCGTTCGTGAATCCGAACCAACCATACATCATGCGGCTGAGTTGCCACAAAGCACTCCCCAACCACAACATGCTCCCGTGAATCGATCAAAAACAAATTCACTGGCGCATTGCTTGCTGATTGTCGGTGTTATCACATCTTTCCTCTTTTTCTTCTCACCTTGATATTTTGCTGTTGTTGCACTAGCTTTTCTCAACATGAATAATTTCGGCTTAAGCATTCACCATGACCAAGCGGGACTCTGATTGTGCTGGCATCGATTCTCCCTGCGGACCAATGAGCCTCCATCATCGCCAGCTTCCCGCCTCTGTGCCGCACAGCCGCGCTTCGGCCTCTTCTGATCATCACCCAACAGGCGATCCAGGTCAGGCATCCTGGTCTCTTCAAACCAGCACCATTCTAGAACCACCGAACTTGGTGACACTTTCATCAAGTGCTCCTCATTTCGGATATACCTCTGATGCCCCTCAGGTCCCCATGCCATCTGGGTCTCAGTGGCACCCCCGAGGGGAAGCCTATCCGTTGCAATCGGAAATCCAGAAACAGAACAAAATCTTACATACTACTCACATCTTCAAGAAGATAGTCTCGCCCCCTGGATCGAACACACCAGATCGCCTGGTAGTGACAGAAGTAGATCGTCATGGGGAAGAACGAAACAGGCACCCTGAGCATTTCTTCAATGGAATCGTTGGTCATGTCAGAGCAGAAAATGGAGGCTACATTGATAGCTGGCAACAAGCCACTCGCCTCGCAAATTACTGGCATCGTTTCTACGGCATTCCCGTGCCAGTAGACAACTACCAACATTGGCATGCTGATCAGACGTCGGAGTACCAAGAGTCTCCCCATGAATCCGTGATGGATGACAACACATCCAACGCGGCCAGCGTTGGCGCATTACCGGTTCCAAGTCAGATCCACCACTTGGCCAGTATCTTGTACGACATTCTGAGCAATGACAGAGAAGCCAACGCAGCGATCCTTGAGAAGATTGAAACGGACCAAACCGACTTGACTACCGACCCATGTCAGATCTTCACGGCGGAAGACTTGGCCCACCTTGCCAGCCACTTGGCAACTACGACACAGACTTTGTCGCAGCATGCTCTGAGAATGCAAATGGAGGCCCTGTCGGACATTGAGGACTGACATCATGAACGAAGACTGAGCCTTCGGGCTAATTCATCTACCCATTTCCCTGTATTTTGAATCCATTGCAATTTCCTGCTTCAGGGAACAGATAATAGCCCTTCACCGGTGGTGATCTCCATAAAAAAGCCTCGCGGCAGCGGGGCGTGTGTGTGGAACATCTGAAGAGATGTAAAACTTTAACTGATGAGGTCGTTTACTGCAGCTTGTTAGGCTTTTGGTTTTTCGGGTTTTTCGCGTCATGACAATTTGCCACTCTCACATTTACAGCAGGGGGACCATCCATGTACTGTGAGCGATGGTCCAACGAAGCGGCCACAGTACATGCGGATATCACGGCTGATCACCGTGACGTACCTGCTTCATTTTTTTCGATGTCAATGTTCAGAAATGGCGACCGGCCAAGCCAAGAACCGGCATGTCGACCAATTGGTCGTCCAATTCCTTTTTGTACGGTTTTCGCAATCTGAACTTCCACTGTCTTTTGAGAATGAATGGGCTGCATCAGAACGAGTTGTATGATATCCTTCGCATAGGTTTTCACTCCTGATCATCCAATGGCTCCTGTCAGGTTTACTGAAGTGTTTTTGCACGTACGATGCATTCCACATCAATCAGTAATTCGATAAGATGTTTCTGAGCAAGTGTTTGTGTAGTAATAATAAATTAGTAATAGTCATAATTTCATAATATATACATATATATATATATGTGCGTGTTCATGTTAAATGTTGATACATCTTGATAGGAAAGGAAGCTGCAGCGTCGTGGGATTGATATCTGTAGCTCGGGACTGGATAGAACGCCTTCGCATTGCGACACCACTTTTTTTTGCGACACCACTAGGTCACGGCATAAATGATGATTGAATATATATATATGATTATATAGGGGAGCATCCCTAACATATGTTTTTGATGTTTTTGTTCCGCAGGAATTATCTTCATGTGCGTGCAATTTCCTCAGATGCAATAGTGACCCCTCCGCAGTTCAGGACAAAGCTACATAAAGATACAATAAAGCGAAGATGCGGAAAGGAAAAGTTACTCCAATCTCATTCCCCAAACCAAATTTTCTCACAATATTTGGGATCAACAACAATGAATTTCTTGCGCAGAAGGAACGAAGCCAGCAAGGAAGGAAGGACGGAATGAATGAAGACAGGAAGCAACGAAGAAAGAAAGAAAGGAAGAAAGGATGGAATGGAGAAAGGAAGAAAGGAAGAAAGGATGGAATGAAGGAAGGAAGGAACAAGGGAAGGAACAAGGGAAGGAATGGAGAAAGGAAGAGGAAGGAAAGGAAAATAAAATTAGGAATGCGTGGGTATGAGCACCAAAATGTTGCCAAAACTGGGCACATTGGAGATTCAAGCGCTAACATGTTGCAAACAGGAAGTCAAACAGAACCAGACAAAAAAAAACAAATCACAGGCAAGTTCTGCCGAGAATCAATTGCAGAAAAGTAGAAAAAAACAAGTAGAAGAAACAAACGTCCAGCTTCCAACACCCAGCAACCAGCCATGATTTTGCAAACATTTAGCAGTTAGGCATTCTCAAGCCCAAACTTTGAGGCAATACGTTGATGACTTCCTTCAATTTTCAAGCTGTCGCTGAGGCAGAAAGCTCCAGAGTGCAAGCAATTGGTGCCACCCTGGGACCCGCTTGGCAAACAACTGCAACAACTCAAGGACAGACAGTAGGGTGCCAAAGGGGCCATGGCAGTCCATGGCGTCAAAGATGCAACAACTGTTGGGTGACAATCCCATGGTGTCATAAGTTATGTCCCTTGATAACCCCAACTGCTGCAGGTGGGATGCTCCGGGACGGTACCATCAATCCTGGTGGGACTGTGGCATACTTTGGCTGTAGCCACAAGGAATTTCTACAGGATGCATGACTTAAGACCATTTTTACCAGAAAACATCCCACAGCTAGTCCTATTTTTTATGATGAATCCCCATTATCCCCATTGTTGTTGAATTTTACATCCTATTTTCCATCCCTTCCATGTGACAATGTTTTGCCGAATGATCATCTAAAGTTGGTGAAAAGCCCCATGATATTACGAAAAAATATTCGCATGAAATTCTTGGTTAGATCCTGTTGGTTTCCATGTAGCGTGACTTGGAAAACACACATAGACATATTACTGTACATTTTCTAGTTCCCTACCATTAATTAAGTCCAGACAAATGTCCCTACCATTAACTTCCCTACCATTCTGTCATCCTTGGGAATATGGACATTGACAAAATGTAAGTTACCCTCTGGTTATTTGTTACATAGCCATGGTATAGATGGCCCGTAGAAATCGATGGTTTACCTAGCTATAAAATGGTGGATCTTTCCATGGCTATGTTAAATAACCAGATGGTATAAATTATAGCGGCTTCATTAATGAATATGGCCTTATTTACTGGCTAATTATAACAGCTATAATGGCCATAATGGCATATAATGGCTATAATACCCGGATAATGGCCATAATGGCTATAATGTACCATCATTTTCCAGAGGTCCTTCCCCATTGCTAGGATGACCTGACATCCCGAGGAGAATCCCTGCGCTTTTGTGACGGGTGAAGCGCCAGATATCGAGGCCACAAGGGCAGGCTGCAGGATGTGGGGAGGAATCCCAGTAGAACTGTTTTCTTCGGGATACCTTCTGGTGATTTATGGTGATTTACCCTCTGGTAATTTAACATAGCTATCGAAAATCACCATTTTAAAGAGGTAAATTGATTACACATGGCCATGTTCAATGGCCATGTGAAATGACCGGAGAGTATTAGGACGGGAAGAACGGCACTAATCCCGTCCCCTTTTTTTTAATCCCCCACGGCTGAGAATTTGCACAGGTCTTGCGTTTTAACTGGTGGCTTGTGTTTTATGGATTGGGCTCCCCCAAATAGGCACCAAACTCTGCATTTTGGACCAAAGAGAAACCATGCCATTCTCATGGATTCATGGCTCACAGGTGGAACAAAAAAGATAAACCACAAGGCAATGCAAGTTTGAGTCACCTTAATTATCATACATGTTTCATAAAACTATAACCTGTAACCAGGTAATTCATTTTTTTTTACTACACATATACTTACTACATACTTAGCTCAAACCAACCCATCCAAGATTCAAAAGTCAAACCATTGCCATTGTCATAAAAGGCTGGGAAATTTTAAAATTCAAAAAAGGCTGGGAAAAGATAGGATTATGGATTCCCTTAAACGATTTGTTTTTTCAAATAAGAAAATTTTAAAATTCAAAAAAGGCTGGGAGAAGATAGGGTTATGAATTCCCTTATTTGATTTTTTTCAAATAAGAAATTTGAAAATTAAAAAAACTAGGGTTTTTTATGAATCTCTTAAACGTTTTTTTCTCAAATAAGCAAATTTGAACTTCAAAAAAGGCTAGGAGAAGATAGAATTGTAGATTCCCTTAAACGATGTTTTTTTCAAATAAGAAAAAATTAAAATTCAAAAAAGGCTGGGAGAAGATAGGAGGATTCCCGTATTTGATTTTTTTCAAACAAGAAAATTCTAAAATTTAAAAAAACTGGGAGAAGATAGGATTATGGATTTCCTTAAACGTTTTTTTTTCAAATAAGAACATTTAAGAATTCAAAAAATGTTGGGGGAAGGTTGCATTTTTTTAACAAACATATATCAAACCCAAATAAGAAAAATGATTCAAAAAAAACTGTAAGTAGAATAGAGTCAGAGAGATGGGTATTGCTTTTGTTTATATATTTAAACTAATTTAAACAATAAAAGAGGAAAATTCCAAAAAAATGTAACCAAAACATGAAAACAATAAAAACAAAAAAACAATAGAAACCAGTTTGGAAGCAAATTTGATTAAAAAAACAATGTCAGCCTTGTTTTTTTGCAGTTGATTGAAGTTGATTGTGATTTTTTTTGACCAGAACTTAAAACACAAGCAAAACACATATTTGTTTTTTTCAAATAAGCTTATTTGATTTTTTTTGTGGCTTGTGTCCCCTGGATTTTGTTTTTTTTTGGTGTTTCTGATCAAAAAAAACAAATTGCGGGGGACACAAACCAATTATAATCAATTTCTGTCCCCCATTTTGTTTAAGGAAATCCATAATCCTATCTTCTCCCAGCATTTTTTTAATTTTCAAATTTTCTTATTTGAAAAAACATCAAATAAGGGAATCCTCCTATCTTCTCCCAGCCTTTTTTGAATTTTATAATTTTCTTATTTGAAAAAACATCGTTTAAGGGAATCTACAACCCTATCTTCTCCTAGACTTTTTTGAATTTTCAAATTTGCTTATTTGAGAAAAAATCGTTTAAGAGATTCATAAAAAACCCTAGTTTTTTTAATTTTCAAATTTCTTATTTGAAAAAAATCAAATAAGGGAATTCATAACCCTATCTTCTCCCAGCCTTTTTTGGACTTTAAAATGTTCTCAGGTAAAAAAAATGGTTTAAGGGAATCCATAATCCTATCTTCCCCCAGTTTTTTTTGATTTTTTTTTGTGAAAAAAAAAACGTTTAAGGGAATCCATAATCCAATCTTCTCCTAGCCTTTTTTGGATTTTCAAATTTGCTTATGTGAGGAAAAAAATCGTTTAAGAGATTCATATAAAATCCTAGTTTTTTTCAAGGTTCTTATTTGAAAAAAATCAATTAAGGGCATAATAAGGGAATCCATAATCCAATCTTCTCCTAGCCTTTTTTGAAGTTTCAAATTTGCTTATTTGAGAAAAATTGTTTAAGAGATTCGTAAAAAACCCTAGTTTTTTTATTTTGAAATTTATTATTTGAAAAAAATCAGATAAGGGAATCCATAACCCTATCTTCTCCCAGTTTTTTTTGAATTTTAAAATTTTCTTATTTGAAAAAAAATCGTTTATGGGAATGCATAATCCTATTTTTTCCCAGCCAGGATGTTATCACAGGACACGCATGCACCAAAAACAGTGCACGGCGCACAGTGGGAAAAAAAAACCAGCAGCATCAATTTGGAAGAACTGGGTTCCATGTGTTTTTTTCTGTTTTGGAACTTGCGCAATAATAAAACACAAGGTCGAACTTATACCGCAAGCAAAACAGCTACCTGTGAAAATTGACACCCACAGCCGTTGGCAAGGAATAATTTATATAATGAGATTTGGTGCCTTTTGGTCACCATGGCAAGTTTTGCGAACCATACTCTCGCATCATAGCAAGCAAAGATAGGTAAATAAATAAATAAATAAATAGATAGAGAGAGAGATATATATATATATATTATATATATATATATAGAACGTTTAAAAAAAAAATAGATGGATAAATGTAGATTTCAATATACACATAGACATAGATACGGAATAATACACATATTCATAAGTGCAAAGTTGCAATTCCGTACTCAAGTTCATACAGTGCATCCAGCAACCCCAAGTCCTCCACTTCCACTTTCAACCTTCGATTTCCAGCCAGGTTACAGGAGGGCAATCATCCTACACAACATATTGCTACATGCTGTGCGATTATTTTTTGGGACAGATATCATTCCGGGCAAGTGCAACAAAAATCCCCAGTTAAGTGCAGACGTCCTCTAAAGCACCCCAGGACTGTCTCTGAGAGATGCGGCATTCTGGTCAAACATGGCCGCCTGAAATAATCCGTGAGATAAACGCTCTTTGATGAACCACCTAGTTGTCCTGTAAGAAGGACAGGCCGTTACTCTGCACCCACTTTTGGCATCATTTCACAAAGCTCCAAAAGCGTACGGAAACGATTAGTTTACGTATGAGTAAGCAGTTCAGTAAACATCTCAATGGAGGGAGAGTAAAAATGTCCAAAGGTAGGTCGTTTGGGGTGCCAAATACATCATTCACATGCGCAAGATGGTGTGATGTATCATGTAAGTATGCATGCATGCAATCTTTCCAAGAAAGATGGTGCATAGGCACATAAACCGATACATGTTTAGATTTAGTGGATTGGTTTAAGGGAATTGTTACAGGAAAACCACATACTTACTGTAATGGGAAAATCTATGGTTTCCTGATTCCTGTAGGTTTTCCTTTAAACCAATCCATTGATAGATGCACTAGTTGACAGTTTCAGGCATTTGTTATGTTCAGCCTCGGACATGGTATGATCAGCCCAGCTGACTACATCAGTTGTTTCACTGGGGGTTGCTCAACCACCAGAAAGACATGCAATATCAATCAGGATATAGAGGGATATAGTGGGATATTTTGGGACAATGGGATATGAATAATTATATAATAAATATATATATATATGGACACATGACCAACTACATCCTTTTTGGGGTTGTCCGAAAATAGGATATACTACCAACATGAATGTTTACAGGTGCCCAATTTTCAGACGAACCTTGTCTCTGCATTGTTTGAAACATGTGTGGTAATCATATGGCTATGGACAACCCCCCATGTATAGATGATGATCCTATTAAACCATCCACTTATGGGGGGTGTCCAATTGCCACGTTTGATTACCGCGTGCGTTATCCCACTTTTGAGCTGCTATTATTATCGCATGAATAACATTGAATAACCCCATTAGTCATCACTAATCCCATAAATCATCACTAAGGTCTTGAATGTTTCAATATGAATCTATCTCTGCCAGGAATGGATCCGCTACAAATTCTGGGGTGAAGAGGAGAGCCGCTGAAAACAGTGAAACAAACTCAATTCTTAAGGGGGAAAAACGCGACATGGTGATTTGGAGCAGCAAAAAAAAAGGATTCACAAAAGAACATTGGGAGTCCAGCAACAAGAACTGGTAGCTTTGCCACCAAAATCATGGTTGAACCAATCAGTCATTGGCTATACTGCGGCAAGTTTCTTTCAATTTGATGAAGGAAAATGAGCTTATTCTATACGCACCATTGGATTGTTGGGTGCCACAATGTACCTTTTTTTTGAAACATATCAAACACTGCTTTCATTTGCTTCACTCATTGCGTCAATAAATTTGGGTAGTCCCCGTGGTATCATGCATGCAATAATCCCATCAGAACCAAATCCCTATCCAGTTCCGATTAATCCCAACATTTCATTGGTTCAATCTTCCCTGAATCCATGTGAATCCCAGCAGAGTTAGGTGATTATATATCCCATCATAACATATAATTTATATAATATCCAAAACAACCCCCAGTGTACTACAATTAAGAATCCCATTATCCCATTAGCCATCATAAAAAAGGTGTATCTTGACATCATTATCCCATTAGCCATCATAGCCATAATATCCCATTATCCCATTAGCCATCATAGCCATTGACAATATGACCATCATACCATCCAAGTACCTATAAAAATGGTGTTTCATCATGGAAATCATTCCATCCAAGTACCTATACTTATTCCATCATGTCCATACTTTGACCGGCCAAGTTTGCAGGATCCACAGGCCCCGGACCGTGGCTATGCAAGTTACTTTAAAGTGGATGGCCTCTTGGCTGGTGATGACTGGCTTGTTTTAAAACCGATGGTTTTTCGAATGATTTTACCGCAAAAAAAACAATTTATACCATGTTTTTCTGAGTTTGGTGATCGGTTTTTCAGTTCATCAATCGTAGATTTATCCACCACCGATTTGGGATACAGTTGGTTGATGATGAGTTTGGTGATAAAAAACTCACCAAAACTAGGGAATATCAGAATCCATGGGGAATCCAGTCTAGTGAGGACACATGGTTTTGCACAGCAAGCATCAACATGGGATGGTGACTGCATATTCCTGCTTATTTGTTTGTCACAGGGGCGAAGAACCACCAGATGAATCATACGAATCAGAGAGCAGAGACAGGTAAGACTCGGAACCAATCCACCCATGCAATACTCAGAAAATATAACTGTGGAGGAATCGCACTGCATCTGATCCCATTTGGTGCCAGTGAGTAAAAAAATGCGAAGCACGTGATTGCAAAAAACCTTATTTTTTGATATTTTTGGTGTTTTTCTATGTATCTATTTGTTTCTTTGTTTCTTTGTTTCATTTTGAGTGCCCACAATAGCCAAAGCGCATAACAATTGCAACAAAAAAATCAAAGGTGTGAAAGTTTTCCAAATGCTTTAAATCTAAGTTCCTTTTGTGGTTGCTGGTTTCTAGAACTTGCTAGTACAGTTTCTCCTGCACACTTGTGGTCTACTTGTAGCTGAGCCATCGGAGTGGCAATGGAAAGAAGTACCGCAGACACCCATGTGGAAGATCTTCATAAACCCAAAAGAGGCCCTGATACTCCCTATGTTGGGCCCAAAATTGTCAACAAACTACTACTGTAAATAAGGGGTTCTGAGAAGTTTATATGTGTTTATATATTTAATATTAGGGATTTCTATATGTGGGATTTGCCACAGCAGCGCGGCTGCGCGCACCGTGACTCGGACTGCTTGGGCTAACTTGAATCTAGAAAAATAGGTCACCACAGCTATGTCATTTTAACCAGAGGGTAAATATATATATATATATATATACATTTACTTATATACATACATACATACATACATACATACATACATACATATATATATATATACAGTATACATACCAGTTTCTGTTTGCCTCTTTTCCTGGGATTACCAGACGAATAGCCAAAGACTATGAGCCACCCGAGGGGGTGAGATGCCTACTCCTGACTCTGGATTTAGCTATGCCTCTTGGTGGCATTTGTTCAGAAGCCTACAATGGAGGTACTGTACCATAATATATGGTAGGTACCTCCAATTTAGGTTCCTGAAATGGCCATTGATGTTTGAGTGTGAAAGAAAATGGTGTAGCTAATTACACCCATGAATTGGAATATATCCTTTTAATTGTGGCTATGTGGCCACCTATTAAGCGGAACCGTACCACGGACTTGCTAATAAATACGTCCCTTGTGGGCTTCGAACAGAGATTTTCCCATGGCCTTTCACCAGAGTGGAGGACATATTTCCAGCCATGGATTCCTGTCAAAGTAGCTGAGAAACATGTTCCCAGGTACCAACCAGTGAGGATCAATGATTTACAGCGGGTGATGGCCAATCCATGCGTGAGTACTTGTGAAAGGATGTATATTTACACACCAAACTTCAATACACGAGTTTTTTAGATGCATATAACATGCCTTCATAACACACACACACATGCACACACACACACTGCTGATCGACTAAATACTCTGACATGGAACTTTACAATGGCGAGGTTGTTATCACCTTCAGGTTTCCTGGGTAAAACCGTCCTGGCCGCACATGAACGTACGTGAATTATATCTGATTTTTGCAGGTACGTGAATTCTGCGCCCAAAATCCATATCAGTGACTTGTAACAGCCTCTTCGTTGGACTGCGTCTGTTACAAGTCAGGCAGTCCCCCCGCTTAATGTCCATGTGATTCTGAGGATTTGAGTTGCATGACACCTAGCGGGGTTCACACACAAGAGCCCTTGAAACAAGGGCAGAATGTCATGAATGCACCCTTTACGCCTTTTTACATTGCGTCGCGACAAAAGGTGAAAGATCTCTGAAACGTCAATTCCGTGGGTGGTATGATCGGACCAATTTGATGGTATGTTTTGATTCCAGTGGTCAAAATGCAGCTATCTCATCTGTCAAGAATTACAAGGAAATCTGGCACATGTACAATGAAGACGGCCAAATGTTCTTTGACACACACACAAGAAAGGGGGAAGGAGGAAGGTAAGTAAGGGCAGCCAGCCACAACAAAACAACGGGGAAACAAGAGGAAAAACAAACAAAGGCGGACAACAGGCAAGGGGAGCACACAACAAGCAGGCAGAACAAAGGAAGAACAAGGGGGGAAGGTGGGGAGCAGAGCAAAGGAGAACCGGCAAAAAAAATAATAAAAACACAGCAGCGAGACAACTGAAGCAGGACAGCAAAGGGAAGGGACAAACACATTCCTGAGGGTGCGACAAGGGGAGAGAGAAGGTTCGGGGAGGGAAGGGTGGGAAGAGAGAGGAGGAAAGAAAAAGGACGGGAAGGAGAAGGGAGGGGAGTCTCCCAAGCAATGCGTGCTGCATCCATGGGCCCACCCGGGAGAAGAGGGACGGTGCACCCAGCTATACCCAAGTATCCATAAGTATCCAGGGTCGCACCCAGAGACGGGGTAGTGCCAAGTTGCAATCATCATTTTTTTCTGCTTTTCATTTTAAACTCCCAGCCATATGGCCTTTTTCTGTTGGTGACATATTGCATGTGACTTCTTCTGGGCGCAGAATTCACGTACCTGCAAAAATCTGATATGATCACCTGTTGTTCTGTGAGGCTTTTTCAGGTTTTCACCAGGTCTGATTGCATTTTTTTTGCTGGAGTCTCATTTGCTGCCAGGACCGTTTTACCCAGGAATTCTGGAGGCGATAACAACCTCGCCATTATAAAGTTCCATTTCAGAGTATTTACTCGATCAGCAGTGTGAACGGGCACAGTCTCACTGACTTGCGAGTGCCGTCTGTACGCTCTGTGGTGTCCATTGAATGGGAGCCCGGCTTCCGGTGCGGAATGCGGTACTGCAATACCTCGGACTTGTGACTGGACTTCGTGCCCGTGGGAAGTGGCTTGAGGCCGCAGTGTATGAATTACGAAGATTGGAATCCATATCAATGACGTGCAACAGCCTCTTCGTTGGACTGCCGCTGTTCAAGTCAAGCATCCCCCTGCTTAATGTCCGTGCGATTCTGAAGGTTTGAGTTACTCGATATTTTTTTTCCGCATGACACCTAGCGGGTTTCACACACACATGCAGATATGCACATTTGCACATGCACATACGTATAGTTATATACAATGAAAAGGGCAAACGCACACATCATGCATGCATAATGTCAATACGCGCAAAGGTGAACTATAATACGACTGTTCTCCATTGTGCGGTGGTCATTTGTGAACTGCAGGAGAAGATCATGGAGTGCTTCAATCGCGAATATCAGCGAGATCTTATTGGAAAGGAGA